AAATAATGAAAGAGATAATTATAGGTATAGATTTAAATATTTCATTTTAGGTTTAATTAGTTTAATTTATAAATCATTTGTTTTATATACAAAAATTAGGAGCTGTATACAATTTGCAAAAAAAAGTTTGGAAAGTAATGAACCAACATTTATGGGAGAGGAAATTCCTCCATGTTCATCAGATGTTGATGTTCATATTTCATGGGATTATGCACAACAAATACAACTTCCAAGTTCATCTCAACAAGTGGTAAATTGGTTTATTTTTTTAATAAAATTGATTTAAAAAATTGATACTAATTTATTTAAAAAATTGATTAGGGAATTTCATATTTTAAATCATTGTACAAAGTGCAATTATTTGGTATATGCAATGATGCTATACCAAGACAAGTAATGTTTATTAAACTATCCTTTGATTTTTTAAATAGTTAACATATTAACTTTTTTTAAAATTTTAGATAAATTATTTAATTCCCGAAAAATATTCAATGGGTAAAGGCCCTGATACTGTAGTTTCCATGGTGCATGATTACTTTCAAAAACATGGATTAGGTGAAAAAAATATCACAATTCATGCTGACAACTGCTCTAGTCAAAATAAAAATAATACTATGATATGGTATTTAGCTTGGAGAGTGATGAATGGATTACATAAAAGAATAACTTATTCTTTCATGGTGCCTGGACATACCAAATTTTCACCAGATGGTTTTTTTGGCTTAATTAAATTGAAATTGAGAAAATCAGAAATTGATGATATTGATGATTTAGTTGAAATTGTCAATAATTCAACTACAGCTATGTACAATTTGGCACAACCTGTTTATGAAAATAGTGAAAGAAAAGTAGATTTTTACCAATGGAATGCTTTTTTCTCAAAGTATTTTAAAATTCTCCCTGGGATTTCTAAATATTATCATTTTCTATTTGAAAGTGAACATCCAGGTTATATAAAATATAAAAGGTGTCATAGTGATGATTTTGGATCTTATAATTGTCTTTTAAAGGACCACAGTTTAGATATTAATTCAATTAATTTGGATGATGAATTGAAAATCAAAGAAGCAATAGGGTTAAGTGCTTCTAGACAATGGTATTTATATGACCAAATATGAGATCTAGTGCAAAATCCCAATAAAAGAAATAATATTTGTCCAAAACCTTCTGTACCTAGACATTAATTGTTAATTTTATCAATAATTTATTAATTATATGTATTATTATTGTTTTTTTATTTTTATTAAAATTTTTTGGGTCAAGATTGTCTGCATATTTTCTATTTTAAATTTTTCGGGTTGTCATTTCCTTTTATGGGAAATTAATAACAAAAACTTCAAACCCCTTTTTCTCAAAATGACAAAAAAAAAAATTCACTGATTTTCTCAGATGACGTCCCATATTGGTCAAGAACCACCTGATGATTATTTGGATAAGGTTGTACAATCATGGGCATTTGCTGAGGAACATATGACAGTTCTTGAAAATGCAAATGCAGGAGATTTCGATGATGCAGTTAAGTGTACTATCTTAAAATCCAAGATGGCTGGAAAATATGCTCCAGTACCAGCTAATGACCCCTTTACTCATGGTAATCCTGCTATTAATTCTCCAGCAACTTTACGGGTATGGGCAAGAACAAAATATCAACAAGAAACAGTTGGAACTAAACAATCCGCAATTCAAAGATTAACTCAAGAAAGATTCCAACCTTATGATACTCCGGATACCTATGAAACTAGAATTCGACCTCTTTTGTTAGGTGTAGCCAATAATGATGCTCAAGTTTTGGGATTTCTTAAAAGCCAATTACCAGGTGAGCTTTTTACTTGTATGAGATCTGATGCTCCAGCAGGTATTAATGAATTTTTCATTGTATTAAAAAATATGTGGTTAGAACGTACTCCAAACCTGTATGGGGGGTCAAATTTCAATCAAGTTTCAGCTATTAATGTACCACCCACAATTTCTCAGCTAGAAACTAATTCACACCAATTACAAAATAAATCGCAATCAGATAATGATAGTATACGAGCTGAAATAAAAAGCATGATAAATCAGAATTAGCTTTGGTACCCACTACTTCCCTTCAGCCTACACAATCCCAGAAAACACAAGTTCTACAGTCTCGGCAAAAACAATCTGATAATATTGATTACCCTAGAGTACCAGATAAATATATGCCAGAAAGACCACCAGACAGATATGGTGTATATTCTGAAAAATTTATCCATGCGAATCTTATAAACCCAACTCCTACATCTAATCAAGTTATAGAATCTGTAGCGAAAGATGTTTACGAAAAAGTAATGGATAAAATTTCCTCTTTTCTACCCAAGAAGAAAAATAATACTCCTAATAATGATGATATGGATGAAATTACTAAGGGTATGTCAGAATTATCAATAAATAAGGCTATAGCCAAAGGTATATCACAGGGAATAAAAGCGGTACATGATAATAATGTATCATCTCAGCATAGATGTTCGAATTGTTATAGTCTTGGACATAATTCTCGCAAGTGTCCATATCCTCGAAAAAGGAACAGAAAAAATAGAAAGAGTAGATCCAAAAAGAGAGGCAGTGTTAATAAGGTTGCTGTAGATTCAGATTCAGATACAAACTCTTCCGATAATGATTCTTCAGATAATAACTCTGATTCTGAGAATTCCTCCTCTGAAGCTGAATCTGATCATAGCTTTAATATACATGTCTCTAAATCAAAAAAAAACAAGTAAAGTGGAAGGGTAAACCGGAGAAATCATTATCTAAAAAGTCTGGTTCAAAGAAGAGACAGAGTCTCAAATCTCCGATTCAACGTTCTTCACAAAAAATACAAAAGAATTCAGGTACGATTGTTGATAAACAGATCCGAAAAATGATTTTAGATATGTTTAATGATCCAGATATAATAGAAACGATTAAAAACAATATCTTTAGTGGAGCAAGTACCAAAGGTGCTAGTTTTACTAAAACTTCTACAAATAATATAATTCCACCTATTACGAATTCAGATTTTACAAATTATCGAGAACCAGTTCTGGATATACCTGAGTCAGAGGAAGAAGAGATTATAAATGATCCTATGGAGATTGATTTTGTTCAAAAAAAAGATCCAGCTACGGACATCGTAACTACAAAATGCAAGATCAAACGGTTAATAATCCCGGCGGCCACGGTAGATCCTGGTGCAAATTTTCCAATTATGTCTGAAGATATAGCTAAACGATTAAAGTTGGTAATTGATACAAAAGAAAAACATGATCTTAGAGGTATTGCTACTATTCCTACAGAATCTCTTAGAACTACCCGAAATGTAGCAGTAGACTTTATTCCAGGTTGTACTATATGTTCCGATTTTGCGGTAGTTAAATATCCCAAACCCATGCTAATTTTGCCAAATACTCTCCTAGATAAATATGATTATGATTTGCTCACATCAAAACGAGAATTAAAACTCGTATGTAACGGTAAAGAGTATTTTATTCCAATAAACATGCATAAGGTCAAGAGCAAGCTTGAAGTAAATTGCGCTACTGCAACTCGGGATGATAAGTCTTTGGTATCCGATCAAATTTCTCAAGAGGTCGATAGTAATGAGGGGGATAATGAACCATTGGAGGAGGAATGGCACGCTCCTATGGATTTTAGCTTAGAATCTACCAATTCGACTTTAAAAAAAAATGCGTAAATTGCGAGAAATATGAGAAAAGTCTTTATAATGCATTTAAATCGATCGCAGAACTTAATGACTGTAATGAAGCTCTGCAAGCAAACTGCGGTAATATTATTGAGCCTGTTACAGATAAAGTTGATATAGATTAAGTAGTAGACATTATACGAGCACTACTAGCTAAGTTTTTATCCCTTCTTTTTATTTCTCGCTCAATTTGGGCAACTATATCTGTATTAGGAATGTTATTTAGACACGTAAGTGTCCTTGCTTCGCATGTATCACCCCCACTTATTTTTTTCATCTTTCCTCCACTATTAGAAGTTGAGTGTGAAGAGTGGATCAATTTGGAACTAGATCTTTTCTTTTTTATCCGCTCATTTGTGATATTATTTTCAGACATAGATACTATTTCAGAAGAAAAGGTATTTTTTATCATTTGTTGCTTGCACTGAGGTAATCCTTGGGCATGCCTTTTCCAAATTTCATAAATTCGATGAGTCGAAGTACCGTATTTATCGACCATTTCTTTACATGCATTTTTAATTGTTCCCCGAGATTGAATAATTTCCTCAATAGCTTCTGGAGGTAAATAAGGTGTTCCGCCACGATAATATTCTACAGTTATGCATTCCATCTTTTTTCTAATCATAAAAATATATAAAATTTTCGAAAATTATCAGTAATTATATATCAGTCGCAGGACATTGCAGATTTACAGGGGGTCAAGTGTCACTCATATATAAAAATTAATGATCTTCGTGCATAATTTTATATGTAAAATCGAAGAAAAAAATCACTCTGGTATACACAAACCTACCC